AAATAAAGTAAAAACAACCTTATCAAACTTTTGGGAAAGGGAAGTTTAGATGCATTAATTATTTTAGTGGCGCTATCAACTTTTCCTCTGCAATCAGTGACCTGCAGATGCTGGAGTAAAGGGCAGGGAAACCAACGCACACGATGTGGGCTCAAAGAATGTGACACTGATAGTAAAAATTCATACATCTTCTGATATAATACTATATATTGATTGTGTCTTACCAAATGTTAAATATGGCCTTTGATGATCTGATTTCTTAGAACAGATTTTGTCTCTATTACACCTTTAGGTGACCTCATGACATATGTTGTCTTAAGATTGTACAAGTTCATAACATGGTAGTGGAGGAGCAGGCAGCAGAGTGACCACACACATCACCAAATTTTAAATAATGTGTTAGAGGTTTAACTTGTTGAGTGTTAGAAGGAGTTTGATTGATGTCTTTATCATTTGAGCACTGGAGTGGGGAGCTGTGCTATGTGCTGGTGTCTCAAAGCAATGCTTTTTCACGTGTTTGAGCTGTCGCCATCTAGAATAAAGCATCTTGTTTCCTCTTATGTATCTCATTGCCGTAGGCCCAATCATCAAATGGCATCTCATTGTTTACTAAGAAGTCTCATTTTAGGCAAAGAGCCAATATGGCTATAAAGAGGAAGTAAAGAATTTTCTAATGCTCTTTTAATTTGTATTATTCACTGAGAAGACAAAAATGGCTGCATGAGGCATAATTGATTGATTTGCTTTGCCGTGTGCATGAGAAACTAGTATTTGTGACCCTGTCTGTCTTTTCAGTGTTTACCAAAACCCTCTACATGTAAGCACTGGCTCGGTGGCTGGAGTGACGGCAGTGAACACCACCAAATCTTCTCCTTCATGGTAGCTTATATTGAAAAAGAAGAGCTGGGGAATAAACAAATACACAACATAATGTCAGATTTCTTTCCACACTATGAAGCGAATTGTAACAGAATGAGGGGCACAAGGGGCAGTGAGAAGGGACACCAGAAGCAGGAGGAAAGCCTGGCTTGCTGAACAGGGAAATCTGAAGGCCCCAAAAGAACATGGGTGTGAGGTAAGCACACCAGTAATGTAAGGTAACCAATGACTAGTGGAAAGAGTTAATAATCAATGACCAATACAAAAAGGCAATAATGTCTGGAAGCTCAGAGAGGCCTGTGAAGGAGTTGCAGCCAATTTCAAACAGAGGGAAAGAGGGCGTTTGTTCCTCCATATGGCCTTTGTGACTCTGTCTCTCTCACCGTTCCCCAATCATGATAGGGACCCACTCCTGACTCTGTTTGAAGGTACTCTAAGCTTTCTCTGTGTTCTTACGTAAAATTTCTCTTTGTTACACTGAGACTTGTGCAGGTTACTTTGCTCTCTATTCACACTTCCTGTGCTACTACAATTTTATTTCCAGTTCCACTTATTTTTACTTTCAATTACTGCCATACCTTGGTTGAACTTTCTAGCTCAGACATGTAAATTGAACCAGGTCCACTGAATTTGGGAAATTGGGACTCCTGACCCCCAACAAACAGGAATGGTGCTTGAGTAGCCATCTGGAGAAGAGGGGTTGATCTTACTGCATCATCACTCCTGAGGACAAAGCCAGGACAAGTGAATGGACCTTCCAGGAAGGCAAGTCTCAGTGCACGGATGACGTGAACAGCGGGACAGCAGGTGTGCTGTGCTGGCAGCATTGTAGGCCAGGGGCATACGGAACCTGAAGGCCACAGAGGGGCTCTAGGAAGAGGGGAGGGCTTGAGGGAAAAGAAGACAATGGGAGTGTTTACTAAAAAAATTAAACAAGAGAAAATTAAGATCCCTTTTACTTTCCTTGAGGATTTAAGGAATGTTTATTGAGGTGGAATCATGAATTGAAAAAATCTCATGTGTAGCCACGATGAGAAAAGGACTGAAAGAAAGTTAGGACGAGCAGCTGCAGAAAATCACCAGAAAAGTTTCTTAGAGCAGCCTGGCTCAGACATGTGGCAGGAGTGTGCTGGAGAGTACCCAAGTGCACTGTCAGTGGCATGCTACAAAAACATGACAATACCTTGGTACTTGTAATGTGCTTATGGCAGAATTATTTTTTTTGACCAAATGCCAATAAACATAGTATATGCAGTTTAAATACTAATGTTGGGCTATGTGTAGATTATATACATACATATACACACATATATATATACATATTTCCTTAAAATAAATATGTGGTAATATCTCTCATCCAGATTTTGATAAGGTTGTTTCCTCTTTTTTTGTTGTTGTTGTTGATTTGCTTGAGTTCTTTGTAGATTCTGGTTATTAACCTTTTTCTGATTCATAGCATGCAAATATTTTCTCCCACTCTGAAGGTTGCCTCTTCGCTTTATTAATTGTGTTCTTAGCTGTGCAGAAATTTTTTAACTTGATAAGGTCACATTTATTTGTGATAAATGATTGCCTTTGAGGTCTTCATAAATTCTTTCCCAAGGCCCTTTCTCATGAGGACAGATGAATGGCCAGAAAACTCAGGAAAAAATGCCCATCATCTCCAATTATTACAGAAATGCAAATAAAAACTATTTTGAGGTATCACCTGACCCTAGTGGGAATGGCCTACATTACAGGTGCTGGTGTGGGTGCAGAGAGAAGGGAACACTCTTGCATTGTTGGTGGGACTGCAAACAAATAAAGCCTTTATGGAAAGGAGTGTAGAAAATCCTCAAAGATCTGTAAGTAGACCTTCCATTTGGTCCTGCAAGGATTTGCACTTGAATGTTTATAGCAGCACAACACACAATCACAAAGATGTGGAAACAACCCAAATACCCTCAACACATTAGTGGATTAAGAAACTGTGGTCTATGTACCCCCATGGAATACGATTTGCCACAAGAAGATGAGAGAGATTTTTGTAACTTTTATTACAACTTGGATGGATTTGGAGAACACTCTCCTAAGTATCACAAGAATAGACAAATGAACATCTCATGTGCTCAGTACTAAGTTGCAACCTGTAGATTTACAACAGTGTGCTCACATGAGAGAAAAACTCAACCAAATTCAAGGAGGGTGAGTTGGTAAGTTTCCCCAACACAGCAGTTCTCAACCTGTGGGCCGTGACCGATAGGGACTGTATTAAAAGGTCATGGCATTAGGAAGGTTGAGAACCACTGCCCTAACAGGTGAAATGGCACATTGCCTGGGTAAAGGTCACAACTACAACTCTGGCTTTACTTTACAAATACAAACGATGTAACCTGATTGTATGTACCTCATATTAATCCAAAACAAGTAAAAATAAATACATAAGTGGCAATAGCTTCCATCCTCTAAATACCATCAGCATTGCTGAGAAATCATACTAGGAAATTTCCCTAAAAATTACACAAGTAACAGCTGCATGCAAGCTAGTGCATTTTATAAACTCTGTTATCTAAAATGAAATGAGCAGCATTGAGTGAGGCAAAGGCTGTTGTCAGTAGTGCTGGAATGAAGAGTGAGGCTTCTACCAACTGGGTGAGAAGTTAGGTTTAGTGACTTCAAATGTTTCTTATAAATCTATGATTCAGGTACCTGAGCTTTTGCAATCAATTTGCATGAAAGAGGAGGGAAGGAGTGGGTGAGTTATAAGTGGCCTGGAGGTGTCAGTAAATGTGGAAATATACTTGTGAGAATGATTCTAAGTGGAATTTTTATAAGACTATTTTACACACAACCATTAATGACCTTTCATCCCCATGCCAGTATTTCAGTCAAATCCGTTGTCTTTTCTGCTGCAAAACTCTTAGCAGCCCTTCAAATGAGAGGCCCCAGAAAAACATTTTATTAGTCTAGGGCCAATATTTAGTCAAAGAAGACAGCAGAACCAAGCAGAAAAAGCTACTTTTGGAGATGCATGGTTGTTTCTTCCCTTTAATTTTACTTTTATATAAGAGATAATCTGAAAATTCTATTTTAAAAGTCCAAGAATATTCCTTTAACAGTGGAATTTGTGAAAAGGGCTTTTATTAGAGTTTATTAAGAAGGAGCTTACTGCTTCATCAACCAAATCTTAATCTGGAAAACATTGTAGTAGGTATTGGAAGACAATACCTTTTTATAGCCCATCATTGAAAAAGTCTTAGGACTTATACAGATCTTTAAAATGTTTAAAATGTAAGCCTGTGCTCTCCCAGTGGATATAAACAACACCCACACAACGGAGCTGGTGCACAGTGTAAAGATGCTTCTATTATCAGTGTACTGTTGGACTCAGCATGTTAAGCTTCTGTTATTCTCAATGTGCTTTTTGGCTCAGAACTTGATAAAAATGGGAAAGTGGAAAGAAACATACACAAATTATTTTAATACAAGACAGACTTTGATTAGTGGCCCAACAGAAATACGAATAATATTCTATTGGGGAACTGGAAAGGAGAGAATAATTTTTAAGAACAAGTATTTTTTTTTTTTAGTTGGAATTTGATCTGGGCTTTGAAAGAAATTAGAATTTTGACCATTGAGTTGCTAAAGGAGGAACCCACAGGTAAGACTAAGGATTTTAATATAATTCAGATTATTATCTTACTTTGAAGGTAAGATTGAAAACGTTAAGCTTCACTGTATAAGTCAATCACAATTAGGAGACTGCTAGGAAGTAGGACTTGGTAAAGAGGGCAGGGCAGAAAAGAGAAATTAGAGGTGACGATGAATTTTCAAGAACAGGAATGCTGTTAAATAAATGAATGAACAGAGGAAGGACATGCATGCCTCAGGCGATTGCTAAGTTTTGGGAAACCTGAGTTATTTGGAGGGCGGAGCAGGCAGCTGGCACAGCGTGGGGTTGGCCCGACCCTGACAGCTGTCACAGTTTACACGGGTATTACTTTGTGCTTTCTCGCCACTAGATGTTTTTTGAGCAAAATCCATTACTTGACACATCTTTATCATGGAACTTGATACTGTTCTTTGCAAAAATGTTTTTTAATTTAATTTAATTTAATTTATGCTTCTTCCAGAAACTTAACCCTTCCAACATCGTCGCCTTCACGAACACTGTCCTGGGGCTGTTGATAACTGGTGCCAATTGAAGAGCAGGTGCACACGGTCTTGGCTTTTGTTCTTTATTCACTGGGAGTGGGATCGGAAGGGGACATTCTAGCTCGGCCGGCTCGCCGGCCACTCCCGGGACTGCGCAAGCTCCTTCCTGAAAGTCCGGGGTTGACCAGTTCGACATCGCGGGACACGGGGCCCAAGGGCGGGGTCACAGTGGCGCCTGCTGGAGAGCGGCGGACACCGGCGCGGTCTGCTCACGGGAGCAACCAGAGGCCCAGGTGCCAGAGGTAATAGTTAAAGGCTTATTATCCTTAAACGAATGTGTAAGTGTATTTATGTTTTATAAACAAAAACTATTCAAAATAACACTTTTATTTAAATATCAAGCTGTTTTATAATTTAAAAATGATTCAGTTTATGAAAACCAGATTAACACGTTTCATTAACACACTTGTAGAGAGCAAAAATACATTATAAATCTATCATGTACAAATATGTCCTATTAGAACTTGAAGAAACATAATTACAGGATTGTGGCTCTTTGTGGTTATGTAACCATATTATTTCCCAATTTTTCAATGCAAAAGTTTCAATCTTATTACTAGATTTTATATCAAACCACATGTTACAAATTAGGGTGGGGGAAATATGCTCACTCTGTTTATGAATCTCTCTTATCAATATTTAATGACTAAAGATTAAAATGCATCATTTAAATTAGAATTTTTAAAGTTATTTACCTTAGATTATAACCATGTTGATTATGGAAAATTTAATACAGACTTTATAGTATGAAAATCATTCATAATGTCCCGAAAATAAATTCTGTTAAAAAATAAATTTTGTTGTCCTGTATTTCTTTCTAGTCTTTTTTTATATTTATATTTTATATTGTAGGGACAAAATACATAGCAGTTTTCCTAACTTTCATGTTCTTAGCATTATGTCATGTAAAACTGTGTAATTATAAAGGATTTTCGTCCCAACATAGTATTAGCTTTCTTTTTCTCTTCTACTCCCCAGAGAGAGGCATAGCTTTGATCACTATGCCAGAAACAATTCTTGCTGATGGGCACCTCCCAGCCCGGCTTGATCTGGAGCTGCTGTGTGAACCTGCCTACCCTTGTCATTCTGGAGGATTATATGATGTAAGAGAAATTATTTGTTCTTTATTGGAGTAGAAAATAGTGTCAGTGGTTTGCTTTAAGGAACTAGGTTAGGCCAGAGAAATCTGTGCTTTCCAGATACCTACCTGTGCTCTCCAGACCCCCATGCGTGCTCTCCAGACACCAGCTTGTGCTCTCGGGTCAGTGCTAGGAGTAGCCGCTGAGGAGTTGTGAGGAAGGCCGAGGAGCACCAGCAGGAGCCTTTTCCACTCTCAGTGGACCTGGCAGCAGCTCTTCCTGCCACAGAGACCAGGGACAGAGCTGCGATATGAAACCAGTCTCTACTGCTGATCTGCCTGACCTCTTTGTGGGTGGGAAATAAATCTTAACATGTTCAGCTGTGGAGATGTAGGTGTTTGTTAACCACATTAAGATCTAGCCTATCCTGATTAATGCATGATGGCGTATTCAGTCAGTCTTGGACACAGTTTTCCTGCTTTGAGTGCCCTTCCCAAACACCTCCACCCCTCCATGGAGAAATCCTTTCCTGGTTTCCTTTAGTTCATCCTACAAAGTGCCTGTGAGAAACCTCCCATCGTCTTTCACGAACTTCTGTATCACCGGGAGCACACACGCGATTGATTCTTGATGAGATTATTTTGTGGACATTGGTTATGTAGACTTTTTGTAGAGTAATTACCATAGGGCAGCGGCTTTCAGAGAATTCTGTGCATACCCCTGAGAGGCTCTAAATGGCTGAAAAGGCAGCCGCACCAAAGTGACCAGGAGTCATTGTATCAGTGTTTTACCGTGGGACATACATTTTCAGGAAAAATATCCAAGTTTGTTTAAGAATACCCTGCATAAAACATGAAAAATTATAAGTGCTGCTAAACTTAGACCTTGAGCACATACATGTCTTTATGACATTCCCTGTGACATTCCCTGTGACAAGATGAGAAGCACCTATGAGCACTGTGGCTGCACAGTGGGATGCCAGTCTTGGGCAGACACAGGGGAGCAATGTTGTGATTTGCAAGATGGCTTATCATTTTTGTCATGGAACGACATTTTATTTGAAAAGAATGACTAAGAAACTATGCTTATTTAGAATCAGTACCTGGCAGATATTTTCTTTCTTTCCTTTTTTTTGCAGTTTTTGGCCAGAGCTGGGCTTGAACTTGCCACCTTTGGCAGATGGGGCCAGCGCCCTACTCCTTTGAGCCACGGGCACCACCCGATATTTTCTTAAAGATGAATAAAGTCAGAAGGAAAACAACTGGCAGAATTTGTTTCTAATAACAAAATTCAGGATTTATTATGAAAATTAGGACTGTGGTAAACTACCCCTGTAACCATGACAAACTCTAAAACTTTAATACTTTTTATGATGGGATCAGTCTTAACATTAATGAATGTGATTTTTTGACACTGTATAGTGAAAGGTGTCAACATTTGAAATATCTACTTAACTCAGTGAATCAGCATTTTCAGAACAACAGATAAATGCTGCTACAAAATTATGCAGTTCAAAATGTAAGCTATACTAATGGAGGCTAAAGCAGCGGAGCACAGGAAATTAGTGACGTGGTAAAGTCTCACTGGAAGAAACGACTACTCACTGCCTTAGGGTGTTTCCAAAAGAGAACACTACACATATCTGAAGATACCATTAGCACACTCTTTCCTTTTCAGTTATTAACCTGTATAAAACCATGTTTTCTTCATATACTTCAACCAAAACAATAGATTGAATGAAGAAGCAGATATGAGAATTTAGCCATCTTCTGCTGAGACAGACATTAAAGACATTTGCAAACCTGTGAAATAATCACATTTTCATTTTTTTTGTCTTGGAAATGGTTTTAAATAAAAATTACATTATGCTAACACATGTAATGAATGTATTATTATTTTAAATTCAATAACTACTTTAAATATTTTTTAGTTTTTATCTTTAATATGGTACTAGAACAAATACAACCTACATTAAAGTTCTTAGGAGTTCTGAATACTTTTGAAGAGTACAAAGAGATAACTAAAAACACAAAGTGAGAACAACGTCTACAGAAATCAGGAGTGAGGATGTGAATGTGGTGTGGAGGACTGCAGTCACAGGAAGCTCGCATGGTGAGGAGTGCCCTCCATGCACCTGCCTCACCCATCCGTTCATAACAAACCCCCAAGACGCTTCTCTCTCAGATGCCCGTCTTGGAGGCGATCCAGTCTCGGTAGGCAGTCACCCGTGCATAGACCCCCGGCTTGTTGATCTTACCACACTCATCTCCCCAGCTCACTACTCCAACAAGATACCAAATATTTCGAGAATTTGGATGAACCAGTGGTCCTCCAGAATCACCCTAAATAAAAACAAAGAATACTTATCATCATGAGAATTTCTTCTCAGATACTTAAATTACACAAATAAGTGTAAGTGATAAGACCAGGTGACCCTTTGTTTGTGAGTGATGAGAGCTTCATGGGGACTGTAGGAAGATGCCTGGTATAAATCCCTCTGTCACTCTCAACCTCAGCTGTGCCCAGCTGTGCCCAGCTGTGCTCAGCTCATTCCCTGGGACTTGATGGGTTTGCCTGAAATTTGGAGGCATGATCCAATAAGCAACAAGTCTAGTTCTATGGAAATGCTTTGGAGACCTATGGTAGGAATATACTTGGAGTTCAGAGCTTCATATATGAGAAAAGTAGCCAGAACCTAGCCATGAGGGGGTGAGAAGGGGAGAGAAATCTAGGAATGGGTTAAAAGTAACTGAGAACTCTCTAAGCCTAGTTAAGAGTGCAGGCTGTGTGATGCTTGACAGCCTGGATTTATCTATCCATGCCTAGATGTGTGATGTACATGTTAATTTCCTGTGCCTCAATTATTTTTTTTGAAATGGGAGTAATGGTTGTAATAAGGAGTAAATGAATGAGTATTTGTGAAGGACTTTGAACGTGCTTGACTCAGAGTAAGTCCAATGTGAGTGTTTGCTAAATCCTTAAAAACACATATTGTGTGTAGGAAAAATTACTTTAGTGCTACAGTTGAGAGAGACTGAATGGATTGTTAAAGTGAAAGTTAATTGAAGCACAGAACTGTCCCCATATTGATAATTTTTATAAAATAACAGCAGCTATTTACATACTATGGGTCAGTGTGAGTAACATCTGGAGTTACCTGGCAGGCGTCGATATTTCCTTCCATGTACCCAGCGCACAGCATTGTGTCCTGCACCATCCCATAATACGCTTCCTTAGCATTACAAGTATTGGTGTCGATGATCTTTATAGGTGCTTTCTGAAGTAATACTGGGTATTCACCTAAAGGAGGTAAACATTCTCAGCAAAAGAGCTGAGAGGGAGCAGGATGCAGGGAGCAGGATGGAAGCCCTGCTCTGTCCTCTGGGTGAGACCTGCTTGACTACAGGCTGTTTTTAGCATGAAAAAGTGTCCTCAGTTCCCTCACTTGAATGGATGAAAAAGAAATGTTCAAACTATATTCTGAAACATCTTTCTAGCCCTGCCTTTCTGTCTGTATCACTCTTCTTACATCTTTGGACCAGAGACTTTTCAGGTAGGCTTTTCAGGTTAGGGAGAGTCTACAACCAAACTAGTGTCCTTGCTGTGTTTGAAACCAAGTCAGCGCACACAGCCAGGCCCCACAGATAGCAAGTCCCAGGTGTGCTGCGCAATGAACAGAGAGTGGTGCCTTGACTCTGTGCACAGACAGCATGTCCCCGGTGTGCTGCCCGCTGGGCAGAGAGTGGTGCCCTGACTCTGTGCACAGACAGCAAGTCCTGGGTGTGCTGCCCACTGGGCAGAGAGTGGTGCCCTGACTCCGTGTCTCTACCCCTGTGTTCTGTGGCTCTTGCACGTCACAGGGAATGCTGTTTCTTCTGTACTTACCATCATATGAAAGTGCTCCCCATCCTGTGATGACGACTCCTTCACCAGGTGAAAAGATCTCTGTGGCTTCGGGAAGACAAACTCGGTGTACATCATTCTTAAATGAAACTTTTTCAGTGAGCAGCAGGACTGCGATGTCATCGTGATGCTGGCCCTCAATGTAGCCTTCGTGAATGATAATTTGCTCAACGTAATGTTCCATGTAGGGAGGGGTTACTTTGGTGCCAAAGCTGACAGTGTAGTTTTTTGGATTTTTTGTCCTAAAGAAATATAAATCATATTTTGCATTTATTTCAAGATAACAGAAATATGCTCTGCACCTACTGTGCTCTTTTAAGACATGAGTATTTCCTCGCTGTATCCTCCATTAGCAGGGACACTGTTTGACATCTGGCTTGTGTCCCCACATGCTTTGTAAGGCAATGGGGACATGAAGACAGCTCGCACTTTCAGGGAGCTTAAATCTAATGAAAGATGAGCATAAACCCTGGGAAGATAACACTCATCAGTGCAGGGTGGTGCATATAGTTAGTGCTGCCCTGAAACCGAGGGACTAGAATCTACTGCTGGGGAGAGGGGAAGATTTCTTAGGGAAAGCAGCCTTTGCAAGGAGACCATAGGAATGAGTCATTTTTGCCTAAAAGACGGGGGAGGCATGTGCAGGGAGGAAGGGAGAGGTGAAGTGGGATGATGTATTTCAGCAACCACAAATAGTTCAGAATATCCGAGGAGGGATGATAGGAAGTGGAACGTAGCGTCGAGAACAAAGAGCGCTTTCGGTGTTGACTGGTAAGGCAGGACTTACCATGTAATCTGTCTTCTGAACCAGGATACTTTTGCAACTAATAATTGGACGAGGGTGACTAGCAGGAACTGCAGTCGCCCAGCGCTTGACCCCTCCTGGGGGCTTGGCGAGGACTCACCTCTGGAAGCAGTGGGCTGCGGTCAGCAGGTGCCGCTCCCCAACTAGGGACGCCCCGCAGTAGTGCCGGCCGTTCTTTTTGAGGCTGGCCTGCCATGGCCATTCACCCTCCTGCGCGGTGGAGCCGCCCCTGATCCTGTCGTGTGTCGCCGACATCCTAGCCCGTCTCCCGCAGCCTGTCAGAAAGGGCAGTTTTGTACATGCAGAAGAGAGACCGTGTTCACTTTACCGCACAGCAGGGAGCGGCTGCAGTGCGCGTGCGGCTCCGTCTACCAGCATCTGGTGCTCATCAGCACCCAGACGACCGACCGACGACCTGCGCGGGAGCTCTGCAGACCCCGCACTGTCTCCAGGACGAAGACAGAGTCACAGCTAAGTCCGCGGGTATGTACCGGACTCCCAAAGTTTAAATTTGGGTGATTATTTCCTTCTTTATACTCCAGTTTCCCTATAATTATTTATTAGATATAATTAAATGAATTATTATGTGTAAATTACCTACAAGGTGCCTGGCTGTTAACAAATTGTGATTGTTTATGTTTTAGATCATCTCATATATTTAATTTAAAAGTATTTGAACTTACGGCTGTTGATAATCTTTTCAGCATCAGCCTTACTGATTTCTGAAATAAAACAAAAAAGCCACAGTAAATTTAAAGCCTAGAACTGCCCACCCTGGGCAGATGGAGTGAGATCCCGTGTCCACCAGGGCAGAAGGGTCCAGAAACAATCTGAACTCTCAGTATAAAGCATCAGAAGAAAGGGGAGGAACCCTGGCTCATTGGAATTGTTCTTTCACCACCTGTGAATCCAGGACTCAGAAGGGCTGTCTTCACAGCTCCATGTGAAAGGCCTCTTTTTATTTAACTGGAAGTGAATTCCACAATAAACTGGACAACTGAGGGTCTCGTAGAAGAGGCCACACACATGAACTTAATTTTTGTCAGTGCACAAAAATAATTTTTGCAAGGTGACATCCCTTGCAGTGCTGTGTTCTGAAAGTCACAGGAACTCGTTGAAGAGCAGCAGGTCACAGCATCCCCTGTGAGGACCGTTTGAAGCTTCATCATCTGCAGTAGGATGGGAAGCAGCTGCCACCCCAGAGCCGAATGTAAGGTGTGGCATTATTGTGGTTTGAATGTGTTTTTCATGAAGAAAACAAATAATTGATGTAAAACAAGGATTTCATTTTTAAAATTATCAAACGTCAGCCTTGTGCCTGCTGCCTGTGAGGTGTGTTAGGGGTGAAGGAGTGGCAGTTGCTCTGAGGCACATAGCTTACCCTGGAGCCTCAGAGAATTGGGATCTGTAGTCAAGGACCCTGCATGGCCCCTCAGCATCTGACGGAGGGTGTTTTCGACCCTTCTTCTTGTGTTCTCTTTCATTGACCAGGGGCCCTTGAACACCAGCCATATGTGTGCGGTCACACTGTTGCTGTCAGGACTGGAAACAACATGAAGTTTTTATAGGCCACCGAAATAGCATTTCCTTCCTCATTCCCTGAGTTTTTCCACCGTGGCTGCTTCTAGCCTTGTTCAGGTCTGCACAGTGCCTTCACCTTAGGTTAAGGGCAGAGTCACCCATCTGTCTGCATTTACTTGGGGACAGGGTGCATGCAGCCACATTATTCACTCTAGAGGACAAGCAGCTCTGCAAATCTGAAAAGGCATGAAAAGCCTGAGGCATGGGTGGAGGGATCACCTAGAAGTGTGCCCATTAACAGGTCCATTGGTCATTTGCTGGGTGACAGCTATAGACACAGCGTCTATCCTTAAGGAATTTCCAGACTTTTAGGGGGAATAAGGCATATATACAAGTGATTATAATTAATGAAGCAGGAGCAATAAGGTATTTATCTTATCTGGACTTATTAATAGGAAAGATGAGCCATTTTTTTACTTAAACAATCAGAGAAATTTTCATGGACAGGTGACATAAACATTGGACCCTAATGTATTTTTATTGCTTCTTCATCATCAAGCATAGATGAGAAGGAGGAATTTTCCAGAATCATTGGATGGCAATGATGTTAGCATTTATTAGGCGCAGGCTGTGTTCTGTGTGCATTGTGATTATGTTTACTAGTGCACTTAGTAACATAGTCTGATGGCCTTGATGGAGGTAAGAGCAATTGCCTGCATTTCAAATGTGTTTATTTGAAAATTTTGCATGCACACTATTTTTCTGTCCTGAGCACAGTTCTGAAAACAAGGGAGGGCAGGTGTTGTTATTACTATGTCATCAGTAGAATAACGGACTAAAAGTGATAAGGTGACTTGCCTAAGGCTCTGGACTACTGAGTGGCAAAGGCCAGACTCTGACAGTCCCTTATTCTAGAGCTCCCTGCACTGTTCCCTGGCACCCAAATCCATATGCAGGGAATACAGCAAAGCTATTTCAGTTCTTGTTATGGTGACTAGAAGGTTTTCCTGGTCTTCGAAGCCTGACGGAGATGTGTTCTCTTCTACCCTACAACTAAAAGCTCCAGGGGCGGCTCTGCAATGTGTTTAGCTGACTTGCAAGGAAAAAGACAGAAGAAAACAGGGTCTATATTCATGCTGCTGCTAAATAAAAAGGCTGGAGCATCAGACCACCTACTATGTAATGTTTTCTGGACATAAAAACTGAGAAAACCGAAGCATGAGTAGTCTGCAGTCTGAAGATGAAGACATTCCCAGTGCATCTAATGAACTCGGCTATGCAGACTTGATCTTTACTTTGGTTTCATGGAACAATAAGTCTGTCACTTAGGATAATGTGGGATATTAGAAGCTTATTGGCTAATGATTATATGATACCAAGAAATACTTTTTATACAGAACATTGAAGTGTAATGGTGTGTATGAAGGGTTGATCTCTGTTCTGATGGGTAGTGTTAGATACTTACACCAGTGTGATGACTTGAGAATTGATATATTGTCTGTAAATGCTAGAACTTTGAAATGCATCATCCATCTGTTCAAAAAGAACATAGAGTCAAAATAAAATCCTAATAATATATTTATATTTCAGAGAATTAACATTGAAACAAATAGAGGAAAATTCTAACTTACCCTAGTCTCAAGAATTTTGCTAAGATAGTTATTTTCTGGTGATGTTTCCCTTTCATAATCTCTATTATATGGGATATCCAGCACATTAAAGCTACCTTGGTAGTAGTAGGTCCTGTTTTCTTTAAGATAAAAAAAAATTCAAGAATTATTTAAATTAAATGGACTTCAAATATAAATACAGATTACATAGTAAACCAACTAGAATGTATTGTGATCATATTAGATACTGATAAACTCTTGTGAATTTTTCTGATACAGTTGATTGGATAATCTAGGGATTGTGGAAATTGTTTATAGGGCCAATTATATATATATATATATATGTACATATATATAAGCATATAGAGAGATATAGATTATCCAAAAAGTATCCAGCCATATATGTCTGTTTCTCATAGTACAAGTCTGGATATTTTCTGGACAGCCCCTGTATATATCAGGTGAAGTTCAGAAATAGTTACAATTTTCTTGAGATAAAAATATATATTATAATCATACTTCTATCTAATCAATTGTCTGATTATGAATAAAAATAGTACCATTTAGGTATCTACTATGTGAAGATACTTTAGAAAGACCTTATGAAATATACTCATTTCTCAGGAGACATGTAGTCTCAGAAAGACTAAGGAATTTACTCAAAACCTATACCTACTAAGAAGAGCCAAGGGTCAAAACTCAATCTGTCTAACTTCTAAACCCACAGCTAATACTTTGCATTTTTTCCTAAGTTTGTATAGATATGAAGTCACTTGATATATGGCACATCTTATCTCTAAAATATGTGATAAATATTAAGCATCTATGAATATGCTCAATACTATTTGAGAATTCCTAGCATATAATAAATACTAAGTAAATGTTAATATTGCTTTTCTTTGCCAGATCATTTTGTGGAAAACACAGACTCAATCTGGATGAAATCATTATATGAGAAGCTAATAAAGATATTATTAATTGATAAAGTTGATTATTTGACTGCAAATTCTACATGAGTGCAGAGAAGGTAAACACTACAATATAAAAAGATATTATAAATGTGAAAACATTATTAATAGTGAGGACGATGATGGAAAAAGAAGTCGGAAAGTTCTCAATAAAATGTTGAAAATGGGTTGATTTAAAATGACATACAAATGTATGTTTTTAATTTCGGCTAGCTTCTCTGTGGTCACGGACTGTTTACTGTGACGACCAAGCTCTACCATCGTAGTTTTTTGCTTTTATCATAAGTTGCAAAAGATAGAAACTGTTTGACTTCTCTCTCTCATAATTCAGTGTTCATAAGGCATCATTCAGTTCTTTGGATTCATAATTATTTCTATTTATTACAATGTTCAGCAGCCATAAATATTCCTTAATGTAAATTCATACATAAGTTGGCAACTGAAGGGAGTATTTTTCCCAGAGCCAGTGGATAAACTGAGTGTTTAATGTCTAAGACATGTAAGGCTAAGAAAAGCTTCTCAAACAAGAAAATCAACTCTTTTAATATTCTATTTTTAATTTAATTCTGTGTAGCACTCCCAGTCAGACTAGTTATCAAAGCCAAAAATCAACAAAGAAACACTGGACTTAAACAGGACTGTAGAACAAATAGACCTAACAGACACTGGAAGAACATTCTACCCTCAAAGGGCAGATTATACATTCTTTTCTTTGGCACATGGACATTTTCCAAGACAGGCTGTATACTAGGCCATGAAACCAATCTTAGCTAAATGAAAATAATTGAAATCATTCCATGTAACACTCAGATCACTTCTATTCAACATAGGCTGGGAGTCCTGGGCAGAGAAATCAGTCAAGAGAATGAAATAAAGAATCTGATTTGGAAAAGAGGAAGTCAAACTATTGTTGTTTTGCTGATGATTTGATATCATATCCAGAAATCCTAAAGATTCTTCCAAAAGACTCCTAAAATTGGTAAATTCAGTAAAGTCTCAGGTTGCAAAATTAATGTACGGAAATCAGTAGTACTTCCACACACTAATACCAGACAAATTGAGAAATCAAGTACTCAAAACCCTTTATAATAGCTGCAAAAAACCCCTCCTAGAAATATACAAAACCAAGAAGATAAAATGTCTGTACAAAAGGTACTACAAACACTGATGAAAGCAATTGTTAATGACACAGACAAATAGAAAAACATGCCATGCTCATGGATTGGAAGAATCAGTATTTTTAAAATGTCCATACCATCCAAAGTGATGTACAGATTCAATGCGATTCTCATTAAAATGCCAATGTCTTTTTTTTTTTTTGCAGAATTAGAAAAAAAAGTACTAAATTTTGTAAATAATCAAAAAAGAGCTCAAATAGCCAAGGCAATCCTAAGCAAAAAGAACAAATCTGGAGGCATCACATTATCTATTTCAAATTATATTATAAGGCTATATTAACCAAAATAACATGGTATTGGTCTAAAAGTAAGCATATATATCTATGAAACAGAACAGAGAACCCAGGAATAAAACCATACAACTTCACCCAACTTGATCATCAACAAAGGAGACAGAAACATGCACTGGGGAAAGGATGCCCTATTCAGTAAATGATGCTGTGATAATTGGATAACCACATACAGAAGAATGAAGCTGGATCCCTTCCTCTCACCATACACAAAAACAAACTCAAGATGGATTAAAGACTTAAATGTAAGACCTGAAACCATCAAAATTCTAGAAGAAAGCCTAGAAAAAATTTTCTAAATTTCAGCCTCGGCAAAGAATTCATAATGATGTCATCAAAAGCATAGGCAACAAAAATAAAAAATAAATAAATGGTACTTAATTAAAGTAGAAAGTTTCTGGACAGCAAGAGAATTAATCAACAGAGGAAATAGACAAACTACAGAAAGGGAGAAAATATTCGCAAACTATACATCAAAAAAAGGACTACTTTCCAAAATCTACAAGAAACTTGAACAAATCAGCAAAAAACTCCAAATAACTTGATTAAAAAGTGGGCAAATGACACGAACAGACATTTTGCAAAAGAAGATATACAAATCAGTAGCACAGGCCTGGTGTGGCAGCCACCCTGGTGACTCCAGCACACTAGGAGGCCAAGGCAGGAGGATTGTTTTAGCTCAGTAGTTCAAGACCAGCCTCAGAAAATGCCAGATCCTGTCTCTACTAAAAATAGAAAAGCTAGCTGGGTGTTGTGGTGGCACCTGTAGTCCCAGCTACTCGGCAGGCTGAGGCAGGAGGATCGCCTGAGCCCAGGAGTTTAAGGTTAATGTGAGATAGGCTTGCACCAGGGCACTCTAGCCAGGGTGACAGAGTAAGACTCTATCTCAGAAAAAAAAAAAAAAAGAAAGAAAGAAAGAAAAAAAACCGGTAAAAAATCAGCAATTAACATCTGAAAAAATGTTCAATCTTGCTAATCATCTTAGAAATACAAATTAAAACCATGATAAGATAGCACCTCATCCCTATCAGAATGGCATTAGTAAAAAGTAAAAAACAATAGATTTTTGGCCCCAGATGTGGTGAAAAGGGAATGCTTCTCCACAACTGGTAGGAATGTAAATTAGTACAACCTCTGCAGAAAGAGCATAGCAGTTATTCAGAGAACTAAGTGCAGACTGAGGGTGTGATCCAGCAATCCCACCACTGGGTATCTACTCAAAGGAAAAGAAGTAATTACATTAACAAGACACCTTCACCTATATGTTTGTTGTAAAACAAGCAAAGATATGGCTAAGTGCCCATAAGGCCATAAGTGAACTAGGGTCACTCGATGAAATACTAACTCAGCCATGAAACAGAATTAAATAGTGTCTTCTGTACCCACTTGAATGATTTTGGAAGGCATTATCCTCAGTAAAGTATCTCAGGAATGGAAAAACAAATACTGCTTATACTCACTTGTAAGTGTGAACTAAATGATGGGTGAACATGGTCACACAGAGTGAGAATGGCCTTGGGAGACATAGGAGAGGGTGGAGGGATTGAGGAATCAAAAATTACTTACTGGGTACAACATACACTATTTGAGTGTTGGGTCCACTGAAAGCCCAGACTTCACTACTATATAATCCATCCATGTAACCCAAAACCGCTTCAATCCCTACATCTATGGAAATTTTAAAATTAATTAATTAATTAAAAAGAAATAAGATCAAGATTATATATAAAGGACAATTTAGATAATAATAGATATCTTAGAAATTAAATATATAATGACAGAAATAAAGAATTTAGTATAAAGTTTGTAAAATTTATTTGAGAAAACCAAGAAAGCAACTTAAAAAAAAGACTAAGAGAAAATACAAAGGGAAAGATAAAGGACACAATTGAGACCACATTTAGGACACCCATTAGAGACAGAGACTAAATTATCAAGGAGATAATCCAAGGAAACTCCCAGAAACTTCAGTCTGAGTTTCCTGATTGGAATGGACCACTGAATGCTAGCACAGTGGGCAAAAATCAGGTCTATGCCATGTCACATTACCAGAAATTTTCAAAATACTGGAGATGAAGAAAAACATCCAGTGAGATTTCAGAATCAGGTGACAGGGGCAGAAGAAGAGACTTCACTCAAAAACTCTAGAATCAAAATTTCATCAGACTCCTTGACAGAAACAACAAAGCAAAAAGGCAACAGACCATTAGCATCAAAATTCACAAGGAAATCTTTCTCCAATCTAGAAACCTATATGATTAATTAAGGGTAAGAATAGAATTAAGCATTTTTCAGGCATGTCAGCAGTCAAAAATGTATGAGGTATATATACATTTGGTATATAAGGTATACAAAAATGTATGAGGTATATATACCCTTGTACTCCTGGTGTGAACACAGCAGGGAGTGAACTCAGCAGGGAGTGAACTCAGCAGAAAACAGTAGGGAGTGAACACAGCAGAAAGTGAACTCAGCAGGGTATGAAGACAGCAGGAAGTGGAGACAGCAGAGAGTGAATTAAATGAGCATGGTGTGAACTCAGCAGGCAGGGAACTCAGTATGGTGCGAACACAGCATGGTGTGAACTCAGTAGGGTGTGAACTCAGCAGAGAGTGAACTCAGCAAGGAGTAAACTCATCAGGGTGTGAACACAGCAGAAAGTGAACTCAGTAGGAAATGAACTCAGCATGGTGTGAACACAGCATGGTGTGAACTCAGCAGGGAGTGAACTCAGCAGGCAGTTAACTCAGCAGGGAAAGAACTCAGTAGGGAGTGAACTCATCAAGGTGTGAACTCAACAGGATGTGAGTGTGACAGGGTTTGAACTCAGTAGGATGTGAACAAAGCAGGGTGTGAACTCAGCAGGGACTGAACACAGCAGAGAGTGAACACAGCAGGGTGTGAAAACAGCAGGGAGTGAGTGCACACAGATTCTCTGTTCTTCTGAGGGAGACAATGAACAGATTCTCTGTTCTTCTGAAGGAGACAATGAACATGCCAACAACTGGAAAATTAAGAGGGAGTGATATCAATAATCAACTTAACAGCATGGAAGTGGCTGCTCTAGGAAATGAAAACCAGGGCTGAAGAGTCTATATTTATCATAAAAAGCTCTGAATAACCCCTTGACTTCTTTAAACTCTGAACATATCCAGCTTTGAAGGAAAAAATTAGCACTTAGGCATGGCCATGCCACAGAGAAAGGGGTGATGGTGAGCGTACCCCCATGTAAGTACACACTCAAGCTAAACAACTACAGTAATTTTTATTCCAAAATAAAGTGTTAGAAACATTGACAGTGTGGTAAGAATAAGATTTCTGACAAAACCCTGGACGTGTGGGAGGAATCTGAGAAGGACTAGTGTGCAGATTCTCTTCTCTTTCATGGTAGGGTACAAATGACGCCACTAAAGTTAGAATATATAGTTTTTAAAAAGCTTTCCTTATGTTTTTCAGAGTCTTATTACAAGCTATGTTAAAGGGATTTTTTTTCTATATGAATGTTTTTATTATGAAGAAACGACTAGTCCAAATTCATTATCTCTGGTTTCTCCTCTGCATGTTGAGGATCATAATGTTTTAAATGCTATGTGAGTCGCAGCATCTTCTGGTAGAGTGGCCTGTGCCTGTCACTGCCCACGTGCCCCTATCTCTGTGTGGATGTCCGTTCCTTTACCTGCGCATATTTACAACACACCAGTAAGCAGCACAGTGCTTGGCACAGGCTAACTGCAGTTACCCTGAGGTCTGGGGTGGCTTATGCCATTTTGAAGGGAGAAAATCCATTGCTTACAATTATTTCTTTATCTTTTGTAAAAATGTAAATAAAGATTACAACTAAATGAAATAAATAAATATATGCTCTTTACCAACCTACTGCCAGAAAATGAACCAGGAGACCAATAGTTACTCCTAGGATGGCCAGCACTCCAAACACAAGGAGGACAATCAGCCAGAGAGGCAGGGATGCCCGGGACGCTGTGACAGGCCTGCAAGAGAAGGGGGGAATGTGAAGAATGCATTTGAGACAATTCCGGGGGGTGGGGGGATCCACAATTCAGGCCTAGCAGCAGCAAAAGACATTGGAAGGAAGGGAGAGAAGGTAGGAGAGAAGGTAGGAGGGAAAGAAGTAAAAAGTACAAAACCACGTACTTTGCTTAAAGCTTTTCTGTTTTTACTAGACATGGGGCCTCACTCTTGCTCAGGCTGGTCTTGAACTCCTGAGTTCAAGGGATCCACCTGCCTTGGCCTCCCAGAGTGCTGGGATCACAGGCGTGAGGCACTGTGCCCAGCCTGCCAGCGCACAATTTTAAATGTCAGACTTTGGTAACCATAGCTGGAGATATAAAGTTAGGAGTTACCTAAAACCAAGCATTAATCAAGGCTGTGAAACTGAATCAGTATATCACAGAGTTTATTTTATTATGTAAAATATTGCACGAAATTAATATTTATCTTTCCAAGGCGAACATTTGTTTTCATCCTAATTAAAATTAATTTATCTCAATTTTTCATATCCTTCCTGAATTTTACAGTATTGTTTCTTGATGGCTCTCCAAAGCCTTTAAATGAGTATTTGTTTCCTAACTGTCAAATTTAAAATATTGTAGCTCTTTTAGTGACAGGTTGGCACTCAGCTCACTCCATGAGCATTCAGCCCTGCCCTAGCCCAGGGCCTGGCTATCAGGACTCTCCTCACCTTTCTCCTGTTTGTACTGCTCTGTCTCCCCTGGGCTGTGATTAGTTACTTTTTTCTTAACCCTTAACTGAAGACATGTTTATACATTTCTTGTTTTGACTGGGTTTATTTTTAAAGTTTTAACTCAAAACAGGTGTTTGAATAAGTTGGGGAAATTTTTATTTTATCTCTACAATTTGTTTTCAGAACTTGTATTATTATAAGAACAAAGGAAATTTAAATATATTAAAATTGTATCAAATAAAAAAGTTAGATCAAATAAAATATCTTAGAGTTAATCCAGACACTATAGTTTGAAAGCAAAAGAATGAAATCACTTCCTAATTTCCTATACATGTGTTTTATATCATTAAAATTTCTATAGAATTTATAGTGTCCATTTCCAATAACTTTTCCCCATTTAATTATTTCTGGTCACAGCTCAGGTGTTTCTCTGGGTCATAGCTATCTTTAGTCCATAGCCTAAAGATCTTGCAAGCCATGACATAGATTGAAGATCTGCTTAAAAATGACCAAGAGACTCTCAGGCAGAAAAATCACTCCGCTATTAGCCAATTCCTCATAGCCCATGCTAGAAACTCTTCTGGAAAATCACATAAGAAATTTCTGTCAGAGGGCACAGAATTTAAATAACACCCTGCCATGGAAACTTCCTGGACATGAGCTTCATAAGACTTCCATGGCCAGAACCTGAAATACAGATTCTTCTGAAATTTTCTCTATTTCATCCTATAGGATTAACTCTAAGAAAAGATTTGAAATTGATGAAATGATATTCAATATCATTTAAATGATAAAACCTTTACTTCTATTATTTCCTTTTCCCTCAGAGTCATTAAAAACTCAGATACCCAGACGGCACCACAAACTTCCTGGAGGTGTTCTCCAGTGCACCTGCCAGTCCAACCTGTGTCCAATCCCTCCAAGTTCTGTGTATGATCAGACGACACCTCACTCTGAGAGACTCATCCCGGAATTAGGGCTTGAACCCTTCCTGAGTAATAAGGGTTTCTTAGAAATAATGCCTTAATCCTTTGCAGTCTTTCAGGTAAGGGCTTCACAAAAGTGTCAAAATGAGGAAGGAAAGAGAGGAGGAGCCCTATAAGGAAAATGCCATCCACCTAGCACAAAGGCCGTGACTGTGTCCAGGGAAACAAAGAACAGCGTCCAGCTGCTTTTTCTCCCTCAAATGTATGCAGCCCCTCATTCGCTGATCGATCAGACACACAGCTAATAAGAAAGTATCAGGGGCTTGACTAAAACAATTCTTCACTTTAGTTCAAATAAATGGTCTTAGAATGTTTAATTACAGTGTGTCCTGTCTAACCACATTTTTATGTGATTATTGAGAGTGAGAATACATGTATAGATACAATATGCACGAATATATCTGCCTTAAAGGACCCAACTATTCATTCAAAATACACACTTTAGAGAAATATTTGTGTAGGGTGTACAGTTATATTTCACAGTTATCTGAACGTTCATTGTTCAATATCAGTTTCAGTTAATTTTGCTGTATTTTATTTTGATATAAACTCCTTACAAGCTGAAAGAGTTCTTAAAACTTTGCCATTAATGAGGACTTACATTTCATATAATTATCTAGTTAAATACTTTAAAAACAAATACTGTGTAGCCCTTGTCTATACATAATTATACATAATGTTCTGGCTCATGAACATTTAACAAATAAAAATACAGGAATTTAAATGTGCTCTGCCGAGACTGTGAGGCAATGCTGTGAGGTTCAGGGCGATGTTCACAAAAGCACTGTAGAGAAAGATGTTAAACAGATAGGAGAAAGTTGTAATCATCGTCACTGCCACCAACAATTTAGTGTTTGATTCATGAGAAAGGAAAATGTTCCCTTCCTGCCTTTCTCTGTTTTACAACAGTCATACTCTCTTAACAGTCATGTTAATTTTGACCCATGCGAATTAAAAGTCACATGTACATTGCCTTCTAAAGCATTACTACACCAAACTATAGGTTCCACACAGAAGTATGTTTGTGACAAAGCTATCCCATACAGAAAGTTTAGAACACTGTTCAAAAACTACACATTTCTCCCCTAAACTCAGCTGTTATACCGTAACTGTGGGTAGCAGTCATCCTGGGGAGCCAGTGCCAATCTTAGTGATGTCAGGATTGTGGGCAAGCAGATGTCCACTCACCTGTACATGGTGTGCAGACAGCAGCACTGCTGGTGCTGGCAGAGGGAGAGGGAGCCTTTGGCTGCTCTGGTCCTGCTCTCGTCCGGCACAGATCTGTGCAGCTCTCAGGTGAATGTGCTCACCACCGTGGAAGCTGGGACGCTAAGGGCTGGGTGTGATGGCAGGAAGGAAACCTGTTTAACAAGCATGATGACTGCTGTGGCTTAAAAGAAAGAAGACGTGAGAATTCTCTTTGAGTTGGATACTTAGAACAAAAAACAACAGATATTACTTGGATTGGGCATCTGAGAGGTCCACCCAAGAAATGCCACCGCAGAGTGGTGACTCAGCGCTCAGACTCAGGCCCTGTGCACCTGTGCTCACCTTCACGGCTCTGAGCACCTCCCTGGGGAAATCAGCTGTGTCTCTCCTCCAGCAACCCTGACTAACGGCTTAGACATAAGTTGTCTTTTTTATATAATTGTTCTGTGGCAGCATTACTCATCAGAAACATACTACTCCTAAAAATTCTCACTCAGACTCTACGTACTTTTGTAGGGATGAGTTTATAGCTGGAGGTTGGTTTGGGAGTAAGAAATAGTTCAATTTCAGTAGTCTTTATAGGAAACAGAACTAGTCAGTCTAGTCTAGAGTTATTTTACTAAGTGAATATGGATAAAGTGTTTGGGTGATGCACTAAACACTTGTTTTATAAAACACTTTGTTTTATAAAAACAAAAAAAAATTCAGATGCCATTTAGGTGTTTGGAATATAAACACATAGATTCTTGACACCATTTCTCCTATTTTTAATCACATGCTTACTCTAATTTATTCATTCATTTAAAAAATATTTATCATGTACTTTCTGGGTCTACACATTGTTCCCAACATGGGAACACAACAACAAATGAAATAAAGTCCCTGCCTTCATGGACACTCTAATGGGAAAGACAGACAAACTTTAACAAAATAACACATACATGATTTCACATAAGCTATTTACACATGCTATGGAGAAAATGAAGGAGTGTCATGGGGGAAAGTGGTGGGGGCAGGGTGGTCATCAACAGGTGGTCAGGAAGGGCCTCTCTAAAGAACGGGCTTTCAGAAGAGACCCAAATAATGATACTGATTCGTGGGATTCATCCTCCTCAAACACACATTCTTGACATCTCAAGAATGTGTGTTTAAAAATATTTAAAACTCTTAGTTGCTTTCAGGGTAAAATATAAGTTTGGTTGCTCTTCCTTGTCCTTCATTCACCCCACTGTCTGCCCCAGTGCTGTTCCCTGGTAGTGTGGGGGGATGGTGATATGGCTTCTCTTTCAATGGGACATAAATCAATCTGAGCTTTGGCTTTCTTTAACAGGATGTACTTGTAAATTTATCCTATCTACTGAGACCCTGTTGATCAAGTGCAAGGACACTGTTGATCAAGTGCCTGTGACACTGTGTTGTCATAACAACTGGTAACTGCTGCCTCACCAAGTCACCATGAGCAGGTGACATCTGAAAGTGTGAGCTCGACTGTCTGCGATTGACAGACCACCCACTGGAGGCCGCACATCATGTAAACTGAGGCCGTGCACGGGCACAAATAGTGACAGCACATGTGCTTATTTCACATGACACTGTGACATGACCTTGTCCTCCACAGAGTTCATGCACCAGAACTGCACAATTGAGTTCCTCAAAAAAATCACCAAAAAAAAATCTCATAATGCTTCAAGTAATGTTAGGACTTTGTGTTGGGCTGCTTTCTTTCATCCTGGGCCACATGTGGCTGAGGACCACAGGTTAGACACCCTGGGAGTACAGCAGTTGGAAAATCTCAGAATGGAAGTTTAGAAACCTTAGGTAAGGAAGTGGGTGGAACATGGGCTGCAAGGGCATCATAGGACCTGACACAGAGACAGGCAGCAGCCAGATTATCCTGGCATGTGTCATTTTTATTCAGCAGGACACAATGGCAGTGTCCACTGGGACAGCAAGAAGTCCTGAAACACAGAGATAAAAGAGATTTGTTGAGAAGTTTTTGGTCTGTTAGAGGAATCAGATGCACAGACAGACAATTTTTACATCTGTGGAAAATGTAGTAGCAGGTGCAGGCCTGGGGCTCTCTGGAACAGCCACCTGCAGACATCAGGAAAGGATGCTGGTGGGAGGCTCCTGCGTCCTAAACAATGAGAGAGAAGAGTGATGAGCTTTTTATGGATTTGGAAGTCACAATAAAAACTTTAGGTTTTATTCTCTAAGAGTGTTGAGGTGGGCAGTGAGGGGTGGAGTAGGATTTTAAATAGGAGAGAGAGGTGCTCCCAGATTAATTCTCTGTAATCACTGAGATGGGTGTCCTCTGAGCCATCACAGTACATGGGGGCAGAGGCAGAAGGATCAGCAATTCAGAGTACGCCATATTTTCTTCAAAAGGAAGTTAGGTTAATTTAGAATTCCTCTTTGGCTCTGAAGTATCCTGCTCTGAACACAGTTTTGCTTGTTTTTTCTTAATCCTTTCTTGCTCCTCAAGAGGCTGGGAAGGGGTAGACCTCTCATTACCCTGGCTAATGATTTGTACCTCACTGTCTTTAGTAAATGAGATAAATCTGACTTAAAAAACATAAACCCATAGGGATCTAAAAATAGACCTGCCATTCAATCCTACAATTCCTCTACTAGGTATATATCCAAAAGACCAAAAATCACATTATAACAAAGATATTTGTACCAGAATGTTTATTACAGCCCAATTCATAATTGCTAAGTCATGGAAGAAGCCCAAGTGCCCATCGACCCATGAATGGACTAATAAATTGTGCTATATGCACCATGGAATTTTATCTTAAAGAAAGATGGAGCCTTTACCTTTTACATGTTTACATGGATGGAGCTGGAACATATTCTTCTTAGCAAAGTATCTCAAGAGTGGAAGAAAAAGTATCCAATGTACTCAGCCCTACTATGAAACCAATTTATAGCTTTGAAAGCTATAACTCAATTATAGCCCAGAATATGGGGAAAGAGGAGAGGAGAGGGAGGGGGAGGATAATTGAAGGGTATTATCCAATTGGAGGGAGGGTAATTGGTGGGACCACACCTACGGTGCATCTTACAAGGGTACATGTGAAACTTACTAAATGTAGACTGTAAATGTTTTAACACAATAACTAAGAAAATGTCATGAAATGTTAACCCAAAAAATAAATAAATAAAAGCATAAACCCAGCCTTATATCATAAACCAGAGATGGCTTTTTAATGGAATTCCTGAATAATGTATGTCCCTGTATTTTATGAAGATGAAATTTTGTTTACTCAACCACGATTACCCACTATGATAATTTTTTTTTTTTTTTTTTGGCCGAGGCTGGGTTTGAACCTGCCACCTCCAGCATATGGGGCTGGTGCCCTACTCCTTTGAGCCACAGGCACTGCCCTGATAATTTTAAATGAAGATAATAAATTGTAAAGGTGATAAAGTAAGTAGATGGGAATGTTTTCTTTTCATAAATCAGCATAATATTTATGCAGAACAACATGTTCTACTGTAATTTTTCTGGAATTCTCTAGTCACTTTAACCTGCACATCTGAGATGTTCCTGACACATCACTATAAAATGTTTCAAAAGCAAATTACTCTAAACTTCCTCTTCCAGTGGAACTGTGAAAAATGAACACCAGCACCAAACTGCAGTCACCACAGCCCCTGGCAGGCCGCGTACTGAGGGCGGTGGTTCTCAACCTTCCTAATGCTGCAATGTATTTTCATTGTTAAAAAGGGGTCGCAGGTGGTGCCTATGGCTCAAAGGAGTAGGGCACTGGCCCCATACGCCAGAGGTGGTGGCTTCAAACCCAGCCCCAGCCAAAAATTGAAAAAAAAGGGGGGGGGATTGCAACCCACAGGTTGAGAACCACTGGCCAAAGGCCAGTCTGGTGCTAAAGGCAGACCCGTGCTACAGCTGCACAAAGGAGGACTAATGATGCTCAGGCCACACCATCAGCTAGATACGGGCAGGGTGGAGGGCAGATGTGTTCAGGCAGCTTTAGGCTATTTTGGACTGGTCTGGGTCAGGCTGACCTGGCTATATGGGAAAGGCACTGATGAAGACCTTGCAGGTGGGCTGTTTTGAGAACAGAGTTAGTAAAGACCCTGGGAGGCTTCCAAGAAGCAGCTGATACCCCTCAAGTCTGTATAAAACCCAAAACGGTGCTCTCCAGGGCCCTGTAGTCACTAGGACAGAGCTTGGCCTGTTGTGCAGGTCGTTAATAAGCTTTCTTTTTCTTGCTAAAATTTTACTTGCCCTTTTCAATTACTTCATTCACTACCTCAAGCCACCTCACAGCTCTAACACTGGTAAGTGTTGAACATTCAAAGCTCAGGGCCAGGGAGTGGCTGATTTGTAGCACTTCGCATTTCCATGGTATAAACCCCAGGGGCCAATTTCAAGCTGCCCTGGGACATCACTGACTGTGGTGTGGGGAGGGATGGTCCCATCATAAAGATGTAATAGATATAAAAATCCTCAAGGCCATAAATGCTGATAAAATTCAGTAAAGTGAATAATGACTTTTGTGTAGTTGGTACCTTTAATTCTCAACTGTGGCTATGTTTCATAACTGACTCATATACTTCTTAAAGGTTTAACATTTGACTCTTGTACATGGGTGAAAGCCGGCTTCAACACTTTACTGCAGCACTTTAAATATTAAAATTTGCAGACATTTCATAAGTTTGGATATTTGAAAGGACTCATAAGAGTCCACAGGGGATACTTACATGAGGTTTTTGTTTAAAAGTGAAGGGTGAAAGTGAAGGACACAGAGGTGAGGATGCAGGGAGGGAGCTCACCAGGGGTTAGTCACAGACTGAACCACCAGAATAGATGCAAAGCAGAAGCTCAGCAGGATCGAGGCCCAGTAAACAAACCGGCCCATGGCCCACAGGGAGCCAGGAAGTGTCAGACTTTGAACCTCACATGAGTCACTTATTTTGGCCAAGGGTTAAAGCCAAGCACGTAAGACTTTCCTAGTCT